AGCTATAGGGAGAAATATAGAAACATCAAAATATTGTTCATAGGGTCCAAAAGGGCAGCCAACCCTTTAACAAGAAAAATAATGTAAAAGTGCCGATGCCAATCTTCAGATTCAAATTTCAAGCCAAGATGTCCGAGAATGTACATAAATTAACGTGTTTTCGCAAGAATAATTATATTTTTGCAGAAACTAAGTGAAGTACATGCTTTAAAATTAAAAACGATGGTTCGCAACAATTGTGATAATGAATTATTCTAGATAATTTGACGTCACAGGTTGGCTTGTCCTTTTGGACCTTGAGAGCTCCATGACCTAACCTCCAAAATTCCTAACGTATCCATACTCTTCCCTTTGAACACCCTGTTTATCGATCCTTTTCCATAAGTTTAAATGGTAGATTAATCGATACATCGCAAAGCACGCCATGCCATGCCACTGGTTCTTTCATTGATCCACCTAACTTCAGAAAACTCAAACCCCTCTTAAGAGCACCAAAAAGAAGAGAGAGGAATTTTTTCCCGGTGTGATATCGGGGGGAAAATACGAGTGTTTACCTCGGCATCGGCAATGGTGGCTGGGATGCGCGGATGGACGGAGGCTGGGCGATGTAGCTGCAAGAAGTGGAAGTAAGAGTGGTTTGCGTGGCGGTAATTGTAATTTGCTTCTTTTCTGATCGCGCCATCCCTCCTCCCTCCCTCCCGTTCTGGAGCCAATCGACAGGCCCCCCCCCTCCACCCCCGGCCGCGGGTAATCCACTCGGGCAACTTAACTAAATCGCAGTTTTGAACTGTTGGAGCGTCGTTGATCGATCTATCCAGCCGGCTTGAATTTCAGCCTCTTCATTAAATCTCCGATCGGCGGGGAAAGCTGCGGCCACGGTTGCGGGGTAGCAAGGCGTGGAAGAAGGGGGCGGGGGCTTGTTCTACTCCGTCTGGAAAAACTGGGCGTCCAAGCCCAAGCAATGCGCTCACTTAACTTTCGATGATGCTACAGGCGGAGGTTGTTGTCTTCTCTCATAGGCGGATCCAGACACTACAGATGGAGGGGTCGGTGGAAGGAGAGGGTTCTCCTCTCGAATTTTTTTTAAAATTTAAAGCATCAAATATGAGGGTCTTGGAGAACAAGGCGCGTAAGTGCAGTTTCTGCTACGTCTTTGAAGTTTTCGAAGTTTCCTTATGACGGAAAAAAGTTCAATCTGACTTTTCGATCCCAGGACCTATTTATAGTCCCAGAGAGTTTTTTTCAATCAATTGTGGGACTTTTTTGTATGTATAATTTTTGAAATTATTTTTCCAAGTAGGCATGTTCTCCTCTCCCCTAGCAAATTTTGCTTCATCTCATAAAAAAAGAAAAGAGGGATCAAGTAAAAAATAAAGACAATTTTAAGCAACTTGCATTTAAACTATGTCTTTTTTGTTACTTTAGCTACAAAATATTAGAACATTTCCAGGAAAAGGGACTTCAGTACCTGAAAAAACGGAGACATTGATACCACTGCTCAGAGGAGTGTTAAACGAACATTTTGGTACAGAAGGCCCGTCAAATATGTCCATAGGGGACAACAGTACGAAGAGGAAAACAGACAGATAAACTGTAATAGCTCTAAGAATAGAGGGATGAATTCTCGTTGGCAAATAAAATAATTGATTTTGAGTGCAGTCAATAAATATAACTTATACTCTATCTACATGCTAGTAGAAACACTAAAAATTGTGTTCCTACATGTGTGCTGTCTTTTCATACTTTTTATTATTTCCCTAATTATTGTTCTACCCTAAGCTTACAATTCCGAAGACTTATTCGATGTAAGAGATCAATTCTATGAAGGCTTCTTTGCGCAGAGAAACTTTTCTTCCGAGCATGCATCCAGTACTTCGGATAAAAGTTTCTGTTTAAAAAATGGAACTATTTCAATCAACATGAACTATCTTTATTTTTACTTGGATCCTGAGAGCTTGAAACTTATGAGGATACACGGACACCAGAACTTAAGTCACAATGAAGATACTTCTTTTTGATTTAACTACGTCAAATTATGATCCGAGATTAGTAGTTCTTTTTTATTTACTCCCCGAACTCCTATCTCTGATATGTCCCCCCCTTCCCAAATGGTTGCCCCTCTTTCGTGATTGCTCTGATTTTCCAAATACCTCCTCTTCAGCCGCTCTATTCAAGGAAAAATAGAGATAGGGGCTGAGTCCCAACTTGATTTTTTCCAATGAATTGTGGCAGTATTCCAAAAAAGTTACTATCCCAAATATTGCGGTACTATACCCAAACTCGAATTGCAGTACTACCAAAAGTAGTCGAAAATGTCCATATCATCCAACAAATAGGGGTAGTATCACAATATGTCGTTTGTCCCACAAAAGAACGTAACTCAATTTCAATGTTGCCGAATTCTCCTCGGGAAATGTCTTTTTACCAAGAAAATCTTGGATATTTTTAAACGAAAATTTCACTAATTTTTCCTCTTATCTCATGGAAATATCAGAAAATTTTTAAGCAAAAACTGTGCAGGTACATTCTCGTAGAAAATGGAATTGTTTGAGTCAATTTTGCAACCCTGAAATGGTGTTATGTTCATTCGTCCTGGAAACGACGAATTTTGAGGGATAACCCCTAACACTTTTTCCCGTGTATATTTCCACCGCAGGGTCGATCACACAAACAGAAATTGGACCCTATTTTCCAATAAGGAACCACTATTTCCGGCTGATTTTAGCAACAAAATATAATGCTATTGGTTTCCCTATACGCAAATGGGTGTTTTTACAGAAAAGCCAGAGATAGTGGTTTTTTACACTGAAAAAAAAGTAGCGTGGATCAAGCATGATAATTCTTGAATTTACCGCCAAGAATTTTCTTTATCTTGCTTTAAGCTGACTTTTTCTTGATACAAGAGAAATAATATTCGGGTTAAGCAAAAAAGTAGCTTATATTAACCAGAAAAATTCTTGATTTAAGGAGAAATACTTATTGGCGGCAAATTTAAGATTCTTTTTTTTCTTCAGTGTATTACAAAATGTAATCCAATTATTCTTTTGGCAAAGTAAAATTCGTCTCGACGTACTGGACCTCGTCAATATCGTCGAGGTCATCCATAAGTTGCGTAATTTTATCAACGAGTTCTTTATCAGTGATCTCCAGTACGTTCTTAGGGATGAACGAGAGGCGGGCCAACTCCGGGTCCCCCAGCTTCTTAATGAGGGCGTCCCTGACAATCCCGAACTGCTTGACGTCGCAGGTGATCTCCGCGATTCCTTCGTCGGCGTCCTCCTCGACATCGATGACGTCCAGGTCGGTGGCCAACTCGTAGATATCGTCGAATTTGGTTGCGTTTGTCCTGTAGACAATGAGACCCACTTGGTCGAAGAGATGTTTCACGCTGCCCGCCTCACTGAGTTGTCCGCCGCGGCGATTGAAGACTTTCCGTATAAAAGCCACAACTCGATTCTTGTTTTCCGTTTGCACCTAGAAACCAAAAATTAAGGAAACAAAAATAATCATGCCAGGGGGTCGACTGAGGGATCTAATGAATACATTTTTCCGGACAAACTTTAACAGGGTTTCTACTAAAATTTCATTTTGGATCATCCTGATATTTGGCGGATGACAGACTGCCTAAGAAGGCACTAAATTAAATTGGATTCCTCCTGGAAGGTCGTATAGTAGACGCCCAGCAAAATCGGGGATAGGTGGCATTCAGATCTTCAGTATCATTCGTTAATCGCTACTATTGTGCGCTACTATTTTCAAATGTTTAAAATTTGACGTGATGGCCCACTAGACAAGGTACGAAGTTAAGCATACGAAAATTCGATACGAAGAAAAAGCTACGAAATTTCTCATCATCCGCTTTTCTGACAAATATTCTACAATTTTGGTTTGAGGTTATGTTCTATTATTTTGGACCAAACGGTAAACCGAATACGATCCATATTTCTTGGATTGTAAAAAGCTGTTATAAACGGATTTAAAACTGCAAAGAGTGAAATGATACCTTGATCATTAACGCGGTGCCGCCAGGGCCGTACGCTTCGTAGTGGACCTCCTCGTAATTTTCCATAGCAGCGTTACCCAAGGCTTTTTTGATGGCGGCATCTATCTTCTCTTTCGGCATGTTTACTTTCCTCGCCTCCAGAATGGCGTGTCTCAGACGAGGGTTCGAATTCGGGTCCGGGGCACCCATTTTCGCCGCTACCGTGATTTCCCGGATACTTTTGGAGAAGAACTTCGATTTCTTCTTGTCCTGTCGCCCTTTCCGATGTTGGATGTTCCCGAAATGCGAGTGGCCTGACATTGTTAAACCATGCTGTGCAAAATAAATGCAAAGTGTATAAGATTCGTGTCCACTGTCGTTCCTTAAACAGTGTCTTTTTTATGAGAACCTACGCTGCCGTAATAAGGAAGAACGACGTATGAGCCTTCAGATGTTGCCGAATTTCCTTCAATAAAAAGCGAATTTATTGAGAAAATGGTGAATATTTTTCTTCACATCTCACAGAAAGTTTGGCTCACAATTTGATCTAATATGCCTGAAAATTTCATGGAGAAATATGAATAACTTTCCTCAAGAATAGTGTTTTATTCGAGGAGATTTGGCAACTCTCGAATGTTTATACGGCGTTCTTCCTTAGCACTGAAGTACGGGTCCCTCATGGATTGTCATTACTTACTCCCTTTGATCATTACATCCACCCACTTCCACCAAAAAGATTTTCTCTTAATCTTGTTTGCCCATCAACTTCAATAATCAGTCTGTAACTGAAGAGTGGAAATTAAAAACCTAATAGGCGCCATCAGGTAAATGTTGCTGGGATAGTGCATGGGTGCTCCAAGTTAGATGACCTAAATGCCTCCACATCATGGACGTTTTAATTGGAAACTGTGCCTAAATTTTGGTATTCATTTCATTACTAGAATTGTAATAATAAACATACATATGAGAGTGAGATTTTCACAGTGATAGAAAGAGGTTCTGTATCTCCACTATTCAAACAGACCCTTTGGTTCCACCAAAACTTAGTAGTTCGGGTCGAGCAAGATGATATTTAGTGACAAAATCGTGACACAAGTTTTGATCCCTTATATCTGCACTGACATGGAAAATAGTCGTCTGCCACGTGATGGCACACGCTAGAACGCAACGAGGCAGATGACCATTTTCCATGTCAGTGCATGTAGGGCTATCGATTTAAGTGGTCCGAACTTGTGTCACAAGTTAGTCACTAAAAACTGTCTGGCTCTCAGACTTTGGATGGAGCCATTACCTTATTGACCGAATTCCAATAATGATGAAGCTGATTTCTTGATTGCTTACGTTCTATTTGTTAGATTAACTAATCATCAGTCCTATGCGTGTGATATGAGTTCTCCATGCTCTATGCTATGATGTGCTTCCCTCCAAGTTCGCTCTCTTTTTTATGTCTATCTATGGCTTCTGCCAGACCGGAACTGCGCAGTGTAATATAAATGGAGGGACTGCGAAAGTGCACACCTCCGGTTTTGGCGTTTTTGATTTAGCTGTGTGAGGAGTTTCTTTTCTACTATCAAAATATTTGATTCGGAAAAATCGGGAAGTTACACAAAAATGTAAATCAATTACCGCGCGTTTGTCGAGCCGGCGTCTGTGTGATTCTATGGACTACATAAAAAATCATTGTTCCTAAAGAGATCAAACACGTGGGCTACTCGTCTGTAGTTGCCTGTACCGCCTCTGTTACACTACGTGCGCTATGTGGATGCTCCTCGACCTATTTACCGGAATGAAACCCTTATAAGTGGAGCAGTATTTTTAAGAAAAAGGGGAAAACGAGTGCAAATTTTCTAAGACCGAATTAGAGGTCCGTGGTTTGGTTTTTAGCCATCTTTTTTTGTGATTCAGCAACGACACCGGCTCGGTGACCGGTGCTGAAACACACAACTAAGCAAATTGCGAATATTCCGGTGCAGGCAAGAAAAGTCAGGGCGCCTTCAAGTGTTGTTTATGCAATACGCATAGCCACGGAACACGATTAGTTGCATTCAGGCGCTGTGAAAAACTTTACCTCTCTCTGCGCATTTGTCGGCTATAAAACTGAGAGAAACGGTGAAAAATTCTATTGCGAATGCAAAATTACCAAACCACGTACCTTGATTTGCGACGTTGCAAATCTCCTGTCACATTTAACTTTCCAAAAAAAGGTCTGATTGTCATTTTTGCGCTGTATTGATTGCATTTCTCCGATTTTTTCGAAAGTATTCTCTGAAGATTCTCATTCCTGAAAAATTGTGCTTTCTGAGATATACACTTTTGCAGTTTTACTGTCGGTACATCAATATACTATGCGCAATTCATATTTATTCTTTTTGATTAGCGCCTATGCCAACTTAACAGCGAAATGGGATCTCCAACACAATTACCTTCGGCAAAACGAGTCGGTCCTCTGAAAAAGTGCCAGCGGGTATTCTGGGTATGTCTTGGTTCTCGAAAATTGGGGACTGCTCCCCCGGGTACGCCTGAATCGATACCTGGATAATTTTTAGAGCACCCTTGGGCAGTTTCTGTTCCGGTAAGGGCGGATGCTNTGTTAAAATGAAAATTTTACAAAGCAAGCAAAATATTCCTGGGAGAAAGGGGAACAAAACTCCAAAAATACCCAAAATATGACAAATACTGCAAAAAAGGTTGATTTAAAATAGGGGAGGGGGGCAAGACCCCCCGGTCCTCCCCAAATATCACCTCAGTTTGACAAGTACCCCAACCCTCGCCCCGATTTGCGTTTTCAAGTGCCCCCTCCCGGGCACTCCAACGCAATATCCGAAGTCGCGAAGGGGTAAACACACCCGAGAGCCCCCTCGGCGCCCTCTCGCGGGCGTTAATATGTACACATGAATAAATTAGCGCCCTGCGAAGAGAGGTGGAAAACTAACGGACACTCAGCCGGGGGATGGGGCGGGGGCGAAAAATTGAAGACAGAGGAAACTGCGCCCAGGGCAGGGGGCCGGGGGAAGGAGATGAGGAAAGTGACAGCGATAAAAATTAACCGGCTGCGTCGCAAATGGAGTTTCCATGTCCGGGCCGGAGAGGGAGCTGCAGTAAGTTATTCGCGGGGTCCCGGAGCACTCGACAGGAACAACTCGCGAATCGTCCCCAGCCGGGGGTGGGCGCGCGAGCGAGGGGCGGGGGCGGGTCCCGGATCAGGGTGCAGGAAATTCGAAATGTTTTTATCGATCTATTGTTTAAACAGAGCGCCGAGCAGCCGTGACAACGCGGCCGTCGTCGAGAAAAACCGCCTACCCGCGCGCAGTCTCGATTGCAGTTACGCGGTTATATCCGCATCGTACCGCACAAAACAAAAACCACCTAACTGCAGATGGTATTGGTATGGAATTACGTGGTTCTATACGGCCCGAGGGACCAAGTGGTGCAAACTCAGTACCGCACATCTACACTGGATTTCAGTCGCTGTTACGTGGTTTAATCAAGCCTGAGGGATCGAAAACAATACGCTGATTTAAACCGTGTATCTGCGTTGGACTTCTGTTGGCGTTAAGCGGTTTCATCCGGTGCGCGAGGGACCGAGAGTATGCTCTTCCGTGCTGAGATAAAACCGCGCATCTATACTCGGAGTTCCTTATGGAGTTGGGTGGTTTTTGGTCGAGCACTTGATGGTGGAGAGTTGGCCGGTTCCGGCTCGGAGTGGGACATTTGCATAGAGATTGAAATGTAAGAGCGTGCATAGCAGCGCTTACTCAGGCAGGAGTGCTGCCTGCTGCCGCTGCTGCAATCTTCGGTCGACTCTGTTGTCGCGTCGGCAATGCTGCCGCGATGAGGAAAAACGCCGTATGAGCCTTCAGACGTTGCCAAATTTCCTCCGGCAAATCATGAATATCCGGGAAAATTTGTGGATACTTTTCTTCCGATTTTTTCAGAGAATTTTGTTTGTAATTTGATCTGAAAAGTCTGAAAATTTGGAGGAAAAATATTCACAACTTTCTTCGAAAATAATTATTTTCAGAGAGGAAATTTGGCAACGTTTGAATGCTCATACGGCGTTTTTCCTTAGCACGGCAGAATGCCTGGGCCCCTCATCAATATTCCCGACACCCAACGCGCCCCTGCAGGAGTTTAGGGTTGCTTTTGACGGTCTGTCTTCCATGGACTCATCATTTCATCAAGCGCCCGGCAAAACATATTTTGCAGTGGTGTCATTTTGGCTGAAACTTAGGTAGGGGCGGCATTCGTCTGAAGGGTGCTTCGCTTAGGATGACGTCAGAAACAATGCCGTGTTAAGGAAGACTCTAACTTTAGTGTTTAATATATCAAACACTACCTTCTTAGGTCTATTCCTTGGGTCTAATTCTTCTCTGTGGGGAGAATTGACTTGGTAATGCAGGTGGAAGCTCTTGACCTCGCGATTGATCACGTGTAAAAATGAATCCCGCAGTTCGAAAACGACCAATTCGGGAAAATGAAATATCTTAGGAGTCGTTGAAAACCACGCAACAGTCTGATAAAGAGTGTTTCTACGCAAGAAATGAACATCGTAAAGAACCCAAGTTGGGTCGCTTTCGAACTGCGAATTTCAATTGTGGGATTTATGAGAATATTTTAAAAATGGGAGGGTCGCGAAAAGAGGTTTTGAAGATGACACAATTTTAAAAATTCAGACGAAAAATCGTTCGGCGACCGAAATTTCCTGTTTTTTCGCTAGCCTTGTTCCCAATTTCCCCCTTTTCTCCCGTGTATTTCATATCGCATAAATATGTATACAAATGCATTCATAAATCATCAAATCCATCGTTTCGTTGCCCGATGACCAATGCAGCTCGCCCACCTCACACAGGACCCAATCCAAGTGGGCGGATTTTTCCGAACGACTCGCAGACCGCGCCGCACAGTGGATCGAGTCTCTAAGAGAGGTCGAACAAAATTTTGAAACTTTAAACGCTTATAACTCCGTGTATACAAAACTTTGAGGTTCTAAAAGTAGTTTCATTGGTTTTCGCGTGAAATTTTCACTTTAAAGCACCCCTTGAAATGTAAATTGTAACAAAATAAACACCAAAATTTGTGATTTCACTGGAAAAAAACACATTGGATCTAGAGTCCAGACTCTTGAAAACTTTGGCAAGAAAAAATACTCTTGATTCAATCAGATTTTTGCTTAAATCAAAAAGATACCCGCTCAAATTAAGAGACTTGGTTCTTCATTTAAGCGAAAATCCGATTGAATCAAGAGTATTTATTCTTGTCGATGTTTTTAAGAGTCTGGACTCTAGATCCAATGTGTTTTTTTTCCAGTGTTTAACAGAAAAGTTCATTTCCGACTCCTCTGATTGATACGATCCACAGTGCGGCGCTGTTAATTCGGCCCGAATCTGGATCAGGAAGCATGAATTTTTAATAATTCCATCAGGAATCAAGCTTTGGGCTCCGATTATTTATTACCTGGGATCGGTCATAACAGCCAATCTGGCTTCGGCAACGAGGAGCCAAGCACCACTCCACAAAAATCGCGTAAGTCCATTAATTGTCCCGTGGATGTACGCGGTTCTCGCTCGGCGTGGCTGCGCTATGCCGCCGGCATTTTAACGCTCCGTCGGGCAAAACATTAAGAAATCATATCACATTATTGCGTGCTTCCTTTATTCCCTCGAATAGAGTTATTTACTGTTCCCTCAGCATCTGCCGTGCTCATCTTTTGCCGAAGGCTCTCTCCTTTAATCCGGGATCTATTAATTAAGACGTATTTTGTCAAGTTCATTAACGTCGTTCTTCAGCAGCATGTTGGAGAGTAAATTAATAATTTTTGATGGATCGACTTTTGAATCGTTCTCTAAAGTTCGGAAGAACTACCCTAAAAACCTATCAATACTTCTTTTTTCTTCTTTGTCTATAGATTTGTCTATACATTTCAATAATCAGCTCGCTGAGAAATTTAATAATCGAATGATTGCTAATTGATAGATTGAGAAATTCTGGATTCTAGGACATTCTCTTTAGAATTTCCGAGAGGACGTCAGGTATTTGTGTACAAAATTTGACGGAGAAAAATTTTAAAAAAGCTTTAAAATACATCCCAGTAAATACCGCAAACGATTTGCGGTAGTCACTCTGAACGTTCTTTGGAGTCACTCCAATGTATGGCTTCGTTAAAGTTTGTGTAAAAATATTCGACGCACCACAGTCTGTAATGATGTTTGAAATTCTCGAAAAATGTCTTAAAATTCAGAAATTATCGATTAATCGATTGACTCTTGAATCATTCTCTGAAGTGCAGAAGAACCACCTTAAAAACCAATCAACGCTCCTTTTGCCTTCTTTGTCGATCGATTTGTTCATACATTTAAATAAATAGCCCACTGAGAAATTTAACAGTCGGGGGAAACGCTATTTGGACTACATTTTGCGATTGGGGGCTGCAATGTCCGGCTTATCTTTATGAAACACCCATTTGCACGTAAAAAGTAGTGGCACGTTCGTTGTTCCTGAACTGAGCCAGAAATTCCAATCCCTAATTATTGCAAAATGCAGTCTATCAGTCAATATTTTCCTTATACTGACAAGGGATTAATTTTGAGGGTTGGAAAATTGTATGGTATTCGGCCAGAGTAAGGAAGGGAAGAAGTAAAGGGGGAAAAAATAGAGGAAAAATGGCTTCATCAATACCTGCTGAAGCAAGTTATGATTTAAAAATTTACAAGATGATATCACGTAATTGGTTTCTTGATATGCAGGGGGGCCATGAGAGGGGGCCCCAGCGTGGAGTCGGCGACTTCCTCGATGGCTCCCATAACGTCGTCCCCCTGACGCAAAGGCGTACCTCGATTTTAACGTGAGCCCTGTTTTACATGTACATATATGCGTTCTGGGGCTCATGCAGAAATCGAGATGAGCTCTTACGTCAGGGGAGTGACGATAAGAGCTCGGCGAGGACCGGGGAGGAGGCATGATCACCTGTGAAGCTACGTGACTGACCGAAGCCGCCCGATTGGCGACAGAGTTTCATTTGAGCCAAGAATGCAAATTGAACATCATTCAATTTTTCATCGCATCCATGGGAAACGCCGCTGTTTTTACGCGGCTCCCATGCCCAGAAGCGCGCGGCGGGGAAGGGGGGCGGGAGGGGTCAGCACGTGGTCAATGTTTGAGGAACGATCAGTCTTCGCCATCATGTTGCCATATGTGACCGCTGACCGGCCATCGGAAAAGACACCTGTGTTTACGATGGTAAAATTTTCAGCACAGCAATTTGTGACCATTCGGGTTGAAAATTCGGAGTTTGATGCTTCCGCGGGAAACTCTCCCTGAGTCAGATTAAGGAGTTGTGGTCAGTAATGCGTGAAAAAAACGTAATTTTTTAAATTTTTGTGCACTATAGAGTCTTAAATTTAAGTCTTAGCTCAAAACTACTTCTATTCAATTTTTTTGGAATTTTACTCGGCTAAAACTCTGATTTTGAATAATTTCTCGTTTCGACGGACATGTAGCTTTCACATAGCCGGAATGGTGCATTTTTTGGCAGTTGTCCGGTTTTGCCAGAAAATGCTTTAGGATTTAGTGAGAAACAAACACAAAACA